GGTACCTACCTGACCCTAAAACTGAACTCAATTAACACCTTGGTCCTAAACCCAACCCTCACAACCAAAATCAGCCTCCGAAGTTGTGGGGCCCAAGGAGCACCCGGTCCCCATGAGGCTGCATTTTCCTTAAAACTGGGCCCCACGATGTAGGAAAAACAAGGCCACACACACACGCACACACACATGTTTATGATCTTGCTACAGAAATACCAGAGGTTCAAGATGTGAATCTTGGTCCAAGCAATCTCACTTACATAATGAAATAAAGCCATAAAAATGAAGCCATACCAAATGTGACTGTGTGTGTGTTTTTGTTTATTTTTTTCTATCCCAGAATGGATTAAAAAATTACAACTTGAGGGTTCTGCAGACAACAGTATCTTAGCTGTTCCTAGGATTGCACTTTGCTGACCAATAAATGTTCTGTTCTAGTAGCATTCAAAATGTCTAAGTTCTCCAACATCTGACACAAAATATTTTTATCCAGCCAACATCTGATGTGGTATGGCTTCATTTTTATGGCTTTAGTTCATTATGTAAGTGAGATTGCTTGGACCAAGATTCACATCTTGAACCTCTGGTATTTCTGTAGCAAGATCTTGTGAGCTAACCACTGTGCTGACTCCCAATACAAGCTATTTGTTTCCATGTGACATGTTGATGATGCTGTTGTAAAATCACTGGAAAAGTAGTGTACAAGTGCAGTTTCCCTTACCTCACAGATGCACAAACAAATTAATCAGGATATATTTGACTGACTTCTGATGGGCAGATCTTTGGCTGTGTTATATAAAAACTGCAGGCATCAATCTTGGACTGTGACACATCAACCTAAATGACCCCAATCAGTATCAAGTACAAAAATCTTCATAAGTATATCCTTACAGGATGGATTAGATCAGTCTTTTTTCAAGGTGGAGGCCACCAGGTGTGCTAAGAAGGCCCCAGAAAGAAACATTTTAGAAGCTGATGGTTCTTTACATTTTTAGTGACATATAAGTTTGAGGTAGGGAGTCCTGGCCAGAAGATTAAGCTGTTTGGGGTGCCATGGCATGACACAGTTTGGGAAGCCCTGGTTTCATTCATTCCACCAAAGAATCATTCAAGAGGAAAACATGTATTATTATTATTATTATGTGCTGACCATAGTCCAACAAAAAAGCATATCTAATTGAAGCAATGATCAACAGCTACAGAAATGTTTTGTTAGAATTAATGCTGTTTGTATAAGCTGAGTCTTATAAGCAGGTAATCATTTCTAAAATAAATAAAATGACCAAGTGCATTATTTGTAACCTCCACAATCATGAGAAAATAAGAAACACAGGAAGAAATAAAACAATACCCTAATTTGTTAAAGCTTCACGTTGCCATTTGTGCTCTGCGTTTTTCTTAAACAAAGGCTCAGTAAAAGGTTTATAAGCAGTTCACTGAAGCATGAGGTTTATTTACTCCAAACACTAGCGTTACTCCTCATATTACCACTAATATGATTTTTAAGGCAATTTTGGCACAGGCCAATGATTCCCTTGATTAAATCTAGTGCTTAAGCTTAAAAGTCTTCTGAGCCTAATGGATTACTCTCAAGGCAACTAAGTAATCCATGAGGCGGTGTTCTGGACTCATTAACTTTAAAGCAAACCTCTAAGAGTTGTTACACTTTGACTCAATCAAAACAAAAGCAGACATTCTTTTGTGACTCGCATGCTGTCAAGTTTAGTTTGACTGAAAATACTTAGGTATTTTGTCGAGACCCAGCTCACAGCTGAGGGTGAACAAGAGCAAGAATCATTGAAAATTCAGTACATAAAATTCCAAATAATGATATTAATATAAAGGGGGCAATATTTCAATTCCAGTTTCTATGAGTTGCATGAATGATACTCCATTCAGAACACTGTTTGATTATTAAGTCATGCACATATTAGCTTGCCAAAAAAAGGGCAAGAAAATAAATGGCTTCGAGTCAACCTGCCTGAAAAGCAGCTTGTTCAACAGTGTGGATGCAATGATTGGAAACACCCAGTCACTTCTGAACCTTCTCTTTGACCTTGGGGTCCGCCAACCTGAGATAAAGATGGCATGTGCATTTGGAGCAGGTCGGATAGATACTGTGGGAGACATTTGAAAACAAACAAAATAACTTTAAATTCAATCTGAAAAACAAACTTCAAGCTAATGCATTCAAGTCAAAACAAAGTAATGTGCTCTTGTTGTTGTTGTTGTTGTTGTTTTAGTACCTGTTAAAAAACAGTAAAAACGTGTTTTGAACCAACTGAGGTTCGGTTAGTGATGACTGGCTCAGCCCTTGATTATTGTAGTAATCTAAAGGCTCAACATAAAAGCTTGAATTAAAATCAATGCAATGAAACGAATGGTTTGACCTTGGCAGAGGTTTATAGTAACTAAGTATATTTACTTTGTTACAGTAGTAGTTTTTTTTGAGGATTTGTAATTTTACCATTTTTTTCAAATAGCTACTTTTGCTTTGATTTTGTTACATTTTAAAACTAAAACATATACTTTTACTTCTTTAAATTCAACACCTAGTTATTCATTACATATTAAATATGTTTGAACTCATCATGAAAGAAGATGTTTATGCACTCTAAAAAATGAAGTGTTGAATTTACTCAATAAAGTCTGGTTCCACTGAGCCTAGCTGAGTAAACTGAGCAAATAATGTACATATATTGCTCAATTTACTCAACCTGAACCAGTTTGGTTCAGTAAATTCAACAGTTTATTTCTTACAGAGTGTAAAAGTACTTTTACTTTTACTTTCCCAATTTTTGTGAAGAGTTCTATGACTTTTACTTGAGTAGTTTTCTCATCAGTGAAATAGTTTTTTACAAAACTCATTTTCTGTTCATGTAATTTTACTTTTACTTAGTTTTTTTTCAAGTATTTTATAGACCTTTGGACCTTGGCCAGCTGTCTTAATTGTAAAACGCTGGACCTGACCACTTATTCAATCTGAACATCAAGATCACTGTCCAATCTCATACCCAGGATTGCTGCTGTCTGTTAAAGGATCGAGATCAGCATGGAGTTTGAAAGCATCAGTAGGCCCAAACAAAAATACCTGAGTCTTTTGTTCATTTGAATGTAAAAAGTTCACCAACATTTATGTTTTGATGTGTGCAACCTGGGGATGGATTATAGAGTATTTATTTTCCTGTTTTGATGGCATGTAAAATTGATTGTCATCAGCCTAAAAATGGACACCACTACCATGTGTCACCATTCACCAAAACCATCTTGACATGAGCAGGAGCTGGTAAATTAGCTGTCCAAGTAACCTGAACAGCTGGGGGTTACAAGGATTCATCCTGCTCCAGTAGTTGTGGGGAATGGAGAGACAATAGGCTAGTTGCCCGTCAATCACAGTAAACAAAGAAGAGCTGATAGTAGATGAAAAGACAATACGCAGACCAAGAATTTCAGGAGAGAGTGGCTGGAAAGCATTCTAAACAGGTTCCACTAGTCAGTCGTTATGTTTCCCATAACATCTGCACCCTCTTTGTGTAGCTGGGTATCAGCAGAGATAGGCTGGTATGCCAGAAGAAAACAGAAGACAGTAATTTTTTTTGGCTTTCTTGTACAAACTGACCCAAGTTTTCTAAAAAAAAAAAAAAGTTGAAGTTTGAAGTGTTTAGTGTTCATACTCAAGCCGATGGTTGGCACTTTGAGTGACCGATGACAAAAACAGTTTAGTTATGTGAAGGCAGGTATTTTCACTTCTTCTGATGAGAGTGATAAGAAACAAAATCTATGAAACCACATCTGAAACATGTGATGGGGTATTTAAACAAAAGTATAATCTAAGTTGAGAATGTTAAGCAGGTCTGGCCAATTTGGAGCCAAAGTGCATATTAATGCATAGTTAAGCAGCAGCTTACTCTGAAAATGACCTTCTTAGAGTTGAAGAAACCAGAAAATGTGGTCTATATGGCAGTGGCTTATTTAAAGAAAGGTCTTGATTGGGTTAGCTTTGCTGTACTAATGTGCTTTAGTTGAAAAGAAAACTTTAAACGAGATTCATCATCACTGAGAGAAAAATACTTCCTTTCATGCTACATAAGGTAAATACTACTCTGGCACTTACCAGCTCACTAAAAATACGATTAACTGACAAACATATTATTGGTTTTGCAGAAATGTCATTTAACCTAACTTTAATTACCTATACAGATAGAAAGAAAAAAAACATTTACATATCATTGCCATTAATTTGATCAACCCTCCAGCTTTGGAGCTGTGATTGAACTCCTAATGAAATCAAGCTCCAAACATTTGATTAGCTAAACGCACTGAAGACATATAAAAAGCTAATTTATGCTTAAAAACACTTTTCTGGGTTTGTGTATTTTCTGTGAGTGAACAATTTTGCTCTGCCTAATAGCTGATAAATAATAATAATAAAAAATAAAGAATAGAGAGTAGGTTATAAGGAGGTTGGTGTTATGATGTGCTTATTGGTATCTTAAATGGCCATGGTGGTGGAGATACAAGATGAGAAGCTTTTAAGATAAGCCACAGTGTTGCATTACAGACCCGTCTGCCTTATGCAGGTGAACAGCCTATTGATTTTTGTACAATAAATATAGTCCCTCTTGATCATTTGCCCTTATTGTAGCAGTTGGGTGTTGGACATTTGAAGGTCTTTGAATGAATATGCCAACAGAACCATACCGTTAACATAAAGCAGAGATGAGACTCTGGTTCCTAAACTGGACACCTTCCTCTCCATGACTGTGCCTTGAGATCCTGCCATAAGCAGTACAGACAGAATTGGAGACAAGGGACAGCCCTGGCGGAGTCCAACCCTCACTGAGCTCGACTTTGTGCCAAGAAAGATCTGGGCCACTGTTCCATGACCAGGAAGCCAAGCTTCTCCTCTCAAATCTAAGGCTTGGCGATCTATCAGAGTCTTCCTTCCAACACCACTGAGGAAACTTTCCTATGAAGGCAAGAAGTGTGATCCCACAATAGTCAGTCCCGCAGTACCCCTTTTTAAACAAGGGAACCATCACCTCTGTCTGTCACTGCCAAAGTTCACACAAGCTCCGGATCCTCACCTGCAAGTGATGTTATGTTCTATGTCCCTAGAGCTGCCAGGAATTGTCACGGCCAGGGACCCTCCCTCACCCGCTGTCTGGCATGCATTACACTCGACCTTGATGGTACGCTATGCAGGTGGTCTCCTGTTGTCCTTTCTGGCTTGGCCCCACCAAGCCCCAGGAACCAAGGCTTGACCACCAGGTGCTTGGAGGTGAGCTCCCCAACAGGCCTTACTCCAGGGAGGTGCCCCGGTTTCCCTTTTCTGGACAAAGTTTCCTGATGTGGTTGCGGGTCCATTTTATCAAGAGTTTTGAGTCATCCTCCCCTGAGGCCTGTTTGCCATGGGAGACCCTACCCTCCATCATGTTAAGGTGAATATTCTGCAGAGGGGCTTTAAAACATGTACTGTTGAATATAGAGTTCATGTTAAAATCTTGTATGCATTGTTGTTCTTATACCACTTTTGTTTTTGCTTTGTATTTATTTATTTATTTATTTATTTATTTATTTATTTATTTATTTATTTATTTATAGTATAGTATCTATAGTGTTTTATTAGTTTTTGCATTTCTCTAAGTTTTTGCATTTCTCTAAACTTTTATTTCATGTGACCATCTAAATGGCAACATGTCAGTTTCTACAATTAAAGTCATTAGTGACACAATTGTTTAAAGCAATTACATTTTGCTGAGCTGAACACCCTCTCACAAGTCATTAAACACTGCAATTTACAAAAGAGCAGAACAGACAGTTTATAATTTGTGACATTTGTTGTTATTGCAGTTAAACACTTTCTTCCAGTTATTCATTAATTCAGCAGAAATAAAAAAAAATGTTTTCTCGTATGTAAGTAAGTAAACACTGAGGAAACTGTTGTTTACTTGCTAATAATGAAGGCTTGATGTGAAGTGTCCACTCTTATTTCACTCTTTCCAGCTCTTTCATTTCCTGCTTTTCCACCCACAAAGCCACTGAGTGTGCTGTTAAGATGAATCATCGTGCCAAGTGAAGAAGAAAAAAGGCAATCTAGACTTTATGGATACTTATCAAAGGACATAAACATTAACTTATATTGAGTCAACAAAACTGTGAAGAGAAAAAAAAAGTGGTCTCAGTGCATGAGAGAAGGCAAGTTTCCAGATGTAAAATCAGTGATGTTGATTGTCACTAATCATGATCTTGGCACATAATATGAATACAGCAAAATCATCCAAAACATGCTCCTTCAATTTGTTGCAACTTTGTCAGATCAGTCTGTAAATTACTTTTTTTTATTTATCAGAATCATTGGAGAATCAACTCTCAACCTTTGTTAATTTACAGCATGCCTAACAGTTCTGTTCAAACTAGCACATGGCTAATTAACATAGCATGCAGACACAATTGCAAAACACTTTTTAAATCATTGCAGCTTCACCAATAATATAATGCAAACACACACACACACACACACACACACACACACACACACACA